CTTTTTCTAGTTACACAAATTAAGAAATTTTTTAGAGGATGCATAGCAACCCAAGTTAACTTAGACTAAGATGAAACAGGGATGGTGCATGACAGAAAATATGTATTCAAATCGTTATCTTATAAAGTATGGCTACAATATCACTACCCGCGTGAAAGTTTTAATAAAAAAAGGAAAATTTTCTTATTTCCTTAATTTTATAGAAAATATCTCGAAAATTTTGTATGATGCATATGTTATATAATAATAATAATAATAATAATAATAATAAACATTGTTTTAAATTTATGTATTTATTTTTATTTTGTAGAATGAATACTCGAAGAATAACTAGAAACGGCGAAAGAAATAATACACCACCAAGACAAAGATCCAGAATAAATCCACAAGAATCTACCGGATAAATTGATATAGCAACAAAAATTTCCCGAGGTATCCAGGAAAGTCTACCAAGTGTAATAGCTTAAATTCAAATTGCTATGAATCAAAACTCAGAACATGGGGGGTAGTACAGAATCAGGCAAGGCATGAACCAAATAATGGTCAAACTCATGAATGTAACTATAAATCATTTACAAATGCTAGTCCATCCACGTTTGAAGGAAAGACGGACCAAGAGCTGCCATGAACTGGTAAGATGACATGGAAAGTTATTTTCAAACATGTCAGTGTGCCTCCACTCAACATGTAAGGTTTGCCTCAACCAAGTTAAAATTGAATGCGCTTCATTGGTGGAAAACTATTCAATCTATGAAAGGTGTAGCAGAAGCAGCCACAATGCCATGGGAGGAATTCAAGGATTTGGTCTATAAGAGATATTGCTCAGATACTCGAATGAAAATAATGGAGAAATAATTCGTAAAGTTAGAACAAGGAAGCAAATCTATAGAAGACTATGTGAAAACTTTTATAGAAAAATATCGATTCGCAACTTACCTAGTCGCTACAGAAGCTCGGAAGGTGAATATTTTCCTACTTGGCCTGAGAAATGAGGAAAGATTTACGCAGATTTGTAAATATGTCACAACCAAAAACCTTCAAGAAGTGGTAGAACTAGCAATTCTAGCTGAAAAGGATTGTTATGTACCAAACAATAACAAGATAGGCGTGAGAAGAAAATTTGAAAGGGGGAACTTTGGCAATCAATTTAAGAAACCCAGGAATGAAAGCATAAGAATATATGATAAACCTGCTTGTCCTAAATGCAATAAGCATCACACCGGAGAATGCATGATGGGCACAAATGTCTGCTACCGATGTGGTCAACCTGGTCACATGATAATTAATTGTCCTCGAAGGAGAAATTGTTACAATTGTGGGTCAACTGGACATCTTTCAAACAACCGCCCAAAATTTAAAGATGTGCAACCAAGGAGAGCAATAGAAGGGATCAATGGAAGTAAAACGGAAACTAGAAAAGCTAAAGGAAGTATGTTCCAACTCACAACTGAAGAAATAAAAGAAATACCCGACATGGTGACAGGTACTTTTCTGATTAATAAATATCCTGCTAAAGTATTATTCGACTCACGAGCAAATAAGTCAATGGTATCTACAAAATTCAGCATGAATTTAAGTTATCCATCTAAAAATTTAGATCAAATAATTGGGATAGAAACAACAGATGGTAAAATCACACAGATTGATAAGGTTTATGAAGATTGCTCAATGGATATAGATGGGAATTATTTCATCATTAAGCTTTTACCAATACTCATTAGTACATTTGATATTGTCGTAGGTTTGGATTGGTTATCTGAAAACCAAACCCATATAGTCTGTGACAAGAAGATGGTGAAAATCAAGAATAAGGATGATAAGGTATTAACCATCTACAATAATCATAAAAAGAATCCCTTGAACCTTATTTCAGTTCTAAAAGCAAGGAAATATATTCATAAGGGATGTGAAACCTATTTGGCATATGTAATAGATGCTAAAAAAGAAAAAAAAAACTTGTAGAAAAAATACCAGTCGCATGTGATTATCCAGAAGTTTTTCCTGATGATTTACCCGGGTTACCCCCAGATAGATAAATTGAGTTCCATATTGATTTAGCACCAGGAACAATACCCATAGCTCGAGCACCATAAGACTTGCACCATCTGAGATGCAAGAACATATGAATCAGTTGCAGGAATTGCTTTATAAAGGGTTCATTCGCCCAAGCTCGTCACCATGGGGATCGCGAGTATTATTTGTTAAAAAGAAAGATGGAACCATGAGAATGTGCATTAATTATTGAGAATTAAATAAAATCACCATCAAGAATAGATATCCCTTACCCAGAATAGATGACCTATTTGATCATTTGCAAGGAGCAAGTTATTTCTCGAAAATAGATTTGTGCTCAGGATATCATTAGTTAAAAGTACATAATGAAGATTTCCCAAAGACAGCATTTCGAACTCGGTATGGACATTATGAATTTCTAGTTATGCCTTTTGGTTTAACTAATTCCCCAATTGTGTTTATGGATCTCATGAATCGGGTATGTAAGCCATACCTGGATAAATTCATCATTGTATTCATTGATGATATCCTCATCTATTTCAAAAGTCAAGAATAACATTGATATATGTTGAACATTCAATATATAAAGCACCCGTTTTACTTATTATTAGTTAGATTATTTTCCTTTTATCCCTACTTTGAGTCATTTTTATTACTTTCTTTATACCT